TCGTTGTGTGTTAATTCATGTTTCAGGAACTTCTATGGGTGTATTTAAGATCTATTAGTATTTCAATTGTATACTTATATGACTTATTTAAAAGAATTTTGCAGTAAGATTAGGAGACTTCTTCAGAAAAAAAAAATTATATTTCTTCCTACCAGAGATTTTTGCATTTATGCGGACACTATGGATTCAATTTTCCTTCTGGATTTATTAAGCGTGTTAAATTCATGGCTCGCTTTGTTCGTGGATTTTTTTTTTAATTAAAAAATTTTTTAAAAATTGAAAAACAACAAGGAGAGGAAGAAATCCACCAAAAAATAAAAATTCACAATTCTGAAATCTCACACCTAAGATGGAAAATGAAAGCGGCACGCACGATAAGTTCCGAGCCCATAATTGATCATTCTTGGACATAATATTCCTAGTACAAAATAACCGAAAATTAACACAACCTTCCTAATACAAAATAACTGGGAATTTAACACAACCTTCCTAGTACAAAATAACTGGAAATTAACACAACCTTCCAAATACAAAATAACTGGAAATTAATTAAAACAACCTTCGTAGACAGAAACAGCTTCCTTATTCACCAACAATAGAAGAAAACCCATCACTCAACATTCGAAATCTCTCTTTGCCACTGGCACGGGAAAAGTAAGCTGCATCCCACATAGAGAAGCCTTCAACTGCAAACCAAAGTCCATATTTGGTTAGTAAAACATATATAGGATGATTTTTCAGTCAGAAAACTGAAAAAGAGCATTTATATGGGATAAATGGATTACCTTTTGTATTCATTAGAATGCTGGGCACTATACGAACCAGAAATTGTCGTAGAACCTTAAATTTGGTATGTTTCGATGTGGGTCCAAGGCTTCAATTATGTCTGCTCTCTGAATAGTGCCAGCCAAAAGTATAAACAACTCCTGGGTGTCCTGGAGTTGAGCTTTTCCAGGCTGCTCCATATCGATTGAATTCCCCTCCACTTTCAAATGCAGTACATGAAGGTGTTTCAAGTTTTCAAGATCGGTAAGGCTAAATTCTTTAGCATCATTGCGATCAGCTCTGGCAATGAGCCCAGTTAGATGTCTAAGAGAGGTCAATTTCTGAACGCCTTTTGGGTAGTGAGTGAGAGCATTGCAACCAACGGTACGGAGATACCTCAAGTTGATTAGTTTTCCTATGGAATCTGGCAATTGCTTGAGACTTTGGCAGCCCGCTAAAATCAAAAACTCCAAATTAAGTAGGTTGCAGAGTGCTTCAGGCAGGCTTTCTAATTTCTGACTACTACACAAGTGAAGGAATCTCAAGTGTATCAATTTCTCTATTCCTTCAGGAATTTCTTTGCATAAATGATCAGTTCCATCAGGCCAACCAAAAATCAATACCCTTAAGCGTCTGCAATGATTAAACAAGCTGCCTAAGGCCTCATAAGTCAGTGCACCCTCTCCAGTGAAAGTTATAAGGGCTCGCAATTTTTTTGCACCAGAAATGGATGTAGGAAAAGGGATCCTTTTATCAATCATCACTGTCAAGTGACGATTCTTTGACCCATCTATAGCCAAATGATCCGAGTTGATCTCTTTTGTCACAAACTCATTCTCTGCCAAATACTGAGCAAAATCATGTACTATGTCATGCATCTTACAACCATAAATCTTTCCATTAAGCATTGCAAGATCTTGAAAGAAAGAACGGTCTGCTAAGATGTGAAAGTATTCTTCCCCTTTTGACTCCAAATCTGCATTACCATCCGACCCTAAATAACCCATCGCCATCCATTGTGGAATTAGTACATGAAGAAAAATGTGGTGATCTTTGGGAAAAAGAACACAATACACGAAGCACTGCTTTACTGGAGGGGGCAAATCATAATAACTCAACAACAAAGGAGCAAAAATTTCCTTTTGTGCCAACTCTAATTTCCATATTTCACTATTCAAGACACTTTGCCACTCTCGTTTGCTTCTTTTAGACTTTAAAAGGCTTCCTAGAGTTTTTGCAGCAAGCGGTAACCCCTTACACTTCTCTGCAATTTCCCTTCCAATTTTCTCCAAATTCTGATCATCCCTTCCTTCTAATGCAATACGTTTAACTATTGACCAACATTGCTCGTCAGTCAATTTCTCCAGAAAAATGATTTGTGAGGAAGAGGACCCCATCATTTTTGCAACTTCAACATCGCGTGTAGTAACCAAAATTCTGCTTCCTGGGGCACCAAATTTGAAAGTGGTTTTCAGTCCTTCCCACCTCTCACCTTTATTTCCATCCCAAACATCATCTAAAACAAGAAAATATTTCATTCCCTGGATAGAGCTAGAAATCCTTTCCAAAAGGACCTGCAATGGATTCGATTCTAGACCGTAGGCAGCACTATCACGAAGTCTTTCAAGCCCTTGAATGATTGCCCTTGCAACTTTTTTCTCATAAAAAAGGTCAGAGACACAAACCCAGATTACCCTGTCAAAATGCTCTTTAACATCGGCGTCATTACATATCATCTGTGCAAGAGCAGTCTTTCCTAACCCCCCCCATCCCTACTATAGATAAGGTAGGGATTAGTTCACCAGCGTCCTCTTCACCACTCCTTCCCCACAAATAGTTCAGTATTTCTGCCTTCTCCTTATCCCGACCACAGAGTTTTGACACATCCACAAAAGACGAAGTTTCTGGCCGTTGTTGAGGATGATTGATTGTGTTACTTATCGACATCAGTTGCAACTGATACTTCTCTTTCTCCTTTACAATATCATCTAATCTTTGATTGATTTCCTTTATGTTGAGGGCAATTTTACGATGGGCATATACACGACGAATAGAAAAGCACGA